TATTGCGTTTACGGAATTTGATATACGTAAATTGACTAGATGGAGATGGTGTAACATCGTTCATATGTAGAGCGAGAAGCGGCGCGATAGTGCGCACTCGGTGCAAGTCGTTTGCTGAAAATCTCAGACTAGCCGAAACAACTGGCCGAACAGCTCATCTTCGAGTGGTTGCAACTCGCTTGGTGCTGTATCGCAACCCTCAAGCCCTCGTTGCTTCCTAAACATTGCAGCAACGAGTTGAGATAACAACTGTTCCCCAAATTGTACAGCCCACGTGGTTCATTCAGTCGAATGAGGCTCGACTGTGAAGAATTCATTGAGAAAAGAAGAGAAACTCCCGGAACGCCTCATTGAACGCATTGAACCCAACACTGGTATGATACACAGGTCCATCGTGGATAATGAAAGATGATCCGAAACAGGATAGGCTACCGAGTCGGGCTGCCGGACCAGTTGATCTAACAGAGCATAGAATGCCGTCCGTTGTCCCATAGTGATAGTTAAGCAGTCCGACATTTCTAAGCAACTCGGGTGTATGCTCAAAGAGGTGTATGCAGCCCTCTTTGAGCGAGCACCTAACCAGATCCACTGCTATCTGCAGGACTTGTACTAAACCCTGAAGCACCGCCTGTTCGCGCCTTATCTAATCCTAACAAGAGTGAAATCGACACTATAAGCCATTGATGACACTACCGAGTCTGAGGGAGGGAGGCTGTATCTTCCAATGAACAGGTCCAACCTTAGGGTGTTGATATTCACGTTACGGAGAAAGCACGGGCGGGTTTAGTTAAAAGGGGCGGGTCAAGAAACGCCGATGGGCGGAACTTCTTCTTCCGCCGCGGACGAAGAAAATTTCGGAGGCCGGATGAAGAAACGGCAATGGGCGAAAAAATAAATTCGAGAGGGCGGGTCAATAAATGCCCATGGGCGGCATAAGAAAATTTGTGGGCGGAGCGAGAAATGTGCCGGGCGCGCAGCAGCAAGCGCCAAGATTTCATACTTTGCTGGTACGCGGTGACTCGCGCCCGCCCTGATAATCGATTTATCTTTTGCGAAATTTCAGTTCTTGGAGTTTCACCATTCTTGCTGGTACACGTTACCGCGTTTTCACCACTTGTCGAAGTATGTCTACTTCTTCTTCATCATCGTCTGTACTTGATGCCAAACTCGCGGAGTTGGGCATTCCGTTGGTCTTCACTAAGGAGCATGAAGCGGTACAGTGGGAGGGGGGACTTGCCGTTGCTGTTGTTGTTGTTGTTGTTGTTGTTGGTATCACCTTTGCTTAGGTATCGACTGTTGATGAGATGATTAACCACTTGGTAGGAGTAGAGGGGGAAAAGGCGAAGAATCTTTTCTTGAAGGACAAGAAGAAGGTAAAAATGGTATTTTTTTGGAGGTGGGATGGTTGCATAAATGTTGGTCATTTTCAGCACTATTATTTGCTTACGGCCGATGTGAACTCGAGGACGGACCTGAACTCGGTTGGGAAGCTCTTAAGCGCCAAGGATCTGCGTTTTGTGGACGGCAAGAAGATGACTGAAATGCTCGGGGTTATACTGGGTGAAGGAGAGACTTGTTGTTTTCCATGATTCTCCGACAGGTACCTCTCGGTTCGGTCACCCCATTTGCTTTGGTGAACGAGTCTTCTGAGGGCGTCAAGTTTGTGGTGGACTCAAAGCTGGTTGAGAGTGATGTCGTTTGTGTGCATCCAAATCGTAACACAGCGACTGTTGGCGTTAGTGGAGCCAATCTAGTCAAGTAGGTGGAGAGAGTTGGAATAGTGCAGTTGGGTGATCCTCTGTCTTGTATGCTGGAGGTCCCGGGTTCTAGGAAGAGTGGTTGCATTTTTAGGTTTGCGGAAGCTACCGGGCACGAAGTTGTCGTCATCGACTTGCCCGAAAACGGCAGTGAGGCTCCCACGGCTCCTGGTAGTGAGCACGGCAAACGCTGAGTCTAATGACGATTCTCGACTTGACAGTTACGAAGAATGCGGTGAAACAAAAGAAGGAGAAAAAACCAAAGGCCGCAGTAGTGAAGAAGGAGAAGGTTGATGAAAAGGGTAGGGGTGGGGGCCTCGTTTGGATTGAATGCAGTGTGGGTGGAAAATGTGCACATGTTGAACTACATGTGTGGGTGACAATATGAAAATTATGTGGAAATTTGAGGAAATTCTTGTTGGTTTCTGTATACTTCTACCCGAATTGGTATGCAAACTTATATAATTAGCTTTGGAAACTCCTGAGCTCACTAGCTGAGGAAAGCAAACATATATTCCTACTCCGACGCTGATTAAATGTAGGTGTTAATAAGGAGGGTATCGATGCTAAGAAGATGGACGATTTCTCGAAGTGGTATACACAGGTAGAGTGGATTCGTTGCGATTTGCCGGAGGAGTGGTATGAGTCATAGGTCATCACTCGCGGTGGCTTCATTCGTTATCACGACATTTCCGGTTGTTATATTCTTCGGCCGCCTGTGATGTTCATCTGGGAGCAGATCCAACAGGCGTTTGATACGGAGATAAAGAAGTAGTGGGGGGAGGAAAAATATGCATATGGTCAACCACAGGTGTTGGTGACGGTATGGAAATTCTGAGGAAATTTCGGGAAATTATGTACACTTCTAACCCAATTTGTATATAAACTCCTGTGGTGGTGAGGAAACTCTTGGACTCAGGTGAGGAAAGCGATCATATATTTTTCAAACCAGTGTTGGAAAGTACGCACATGGTCAACTATATGTGTTGGCGACAATATGAAAATTCTGCGGACAATTTTTTACATAAACTCCTATAATCAATGAGGACCGATCGCCGCCATGGTTCGAGTTCTAGAGTGAAATTGAGACTGAAAGTAGCATTTATATTTTCCCAACTAGATGATATAGATTCCAAGTTGAAATAGCACTCTCTCAAGAGGAACTCCGCTCAAAGAAAAGCCGCCGAATTTCCCCCATCATATTTGTACCAGAATTCCTATAATCAACGAGGAAACTTCTGAGCTCAGCTGAGGAAAGCGGACATATATTCCTACTCTAACACAGAGCGTGTGGTTGAATCTAGTTGTGGTGATCAGGTTGGGCGTACGTCCCTGTTGCTTCCCAATGTTCGTGTCTAAGAGTGCTCTGGAGAGGGAGAAGGAGCACGTTGAGGGGTTCAGTCCTGAGGTTGCTTGGGTTACTAAAGCGGGTGATTCGGAATTGCCGGAGCCCATTGGTAAGGCAGTGTTTGTATAATGGTTGGAAAGGAAAAGCTTGTATAATCGTTAAAGAGGAGGTGTTTGTATAATCGTTAGAGAGGAAGTGTTTGTATAATCGTTGGAGAGAAGGTGTATGTATAATCGTTGAAGAGGAAGTGTTTTGTATAATCGTTGAAGAGGAAGTGTTTTGTATAATCGTTGAAGAGGAAGTGTTTGTATAATCGTTGGAAAGGAAGTGTTTGTATAATCGTTAAAGAGGAAGTGTTTGTATAATCGTTGGAGAGAAAGTGGTTTGTATAATCGTTGGAGAGAAAGTGTTTTGTATAATCGTTGGAGAGAAAGTGTTTGGATAATCGTTGGAGAGGAAGTGTTTGTATAATCGTCGAAGAGGAAGTGTTTGTATAATCGTCGAAGAGGAAGTGTGTGCATTATCGTTGGAGAGGAAGTGTTCGTATAATCGTTGGTAAGGAAGTGTTTGTATAATCGTCGAAGAGGAAGTGTTTATATAATCGTTGGAGAGGAAGTGTTCGTATAATCGTTGGAAAGGAAGTGTTCGTATAATCGTTGAAGAGGAAGTGTTTGTATAATCGTTGGAAAGGAAGTGTTTGTATAATCGTTGGAAAGGAAGTGTTTGCTTCAGCTATTCGCCCCACTAGTGAGACGATTATGTATCCATCCTATGCCGATTGGATTCGCTCGTATCGCGACTTGCCCCTAAAGCTGAATCAGTGGACTAACGTTGTGAGGTAGTAAGTTCTCCTAGGTTCGAATGAACTGAGTGAAAAATCATGTGGAAAAAAACTGAGGTCATCTGTGGAAAATTTGTTTTATGTATAGTTTTTTTCCGTGAAAAATTTCAACTCCTTCCTGAAATTTTTGTGTGTGTTTAGATGGGAGTTCAAGCAGCCAACGCCGTTCATCCGGACGAGGGAGTTCTTGTGGCAGGAGGGGCATACTGCTCACGCGACTAAGGAGGAGGTGCGTATTTGGGAAATTAGTATGAATATTGATAAGTGTGGTGAAAAATGCACATGGTTAACCACATGTGTTGGGGAGAATATGAAAATTGTGAGGAAAGTTCGGAAAATCATTGTTAGTTTCGGCACACTTATCGTAGATATATTTTGCCAATTGGTATGAGTAATGAAGGGTATATTGAGCGCAGCTGAGGAGAGCGAACATTTTTTTATTGATCTTTCTCGTGATTGATTTTTCGGTGGTAGGCTGTAGGGCTGGTATATAGTATTCTGGATCTGTACAAGATGCTTTATGAGCAGCTTCTGGCTGTTCCTGTAGTACAGGGGGTGAAATCAGAGATGGAAAAGTTTGCTGGTGAGTGAATATTAGTGATGTTGCTTCGCTCCGCTAAGATTTTGGTGGCAGGTGGGGAGGCGACGACTACGTGTGAGGCGTTTGTGGCTTGCAATGGGAGAGCTGTACAGGGCGCTACTTCGCATTTTCTGGGAACGCATTTTGCGAAGATGTTTGGCATTGAATTTGAGGATAGGTAAAGTTGAAGGGGTGCAGAACATATGTTCGGTTTAGGAATGAGAATTTATCGGATTGAAATTTTCACAAGTTGTTTATATAGGATATCGGATTCACTATAGATGATATGTATATATATAATAACAGATGTTATCGGAGTTTCACCCTAGTGATATGAAAAACACTAGCGAAAAACACATTTCACGGCTATTGCAAGGCGCAAATATCGCGTTTTTCACGGAGTTTTACGCCACTCTACGTAAAACGGGTAAAACTCCATTGTTGGACGCACAGCCAAAGCTGTTACTGAGATCAATAATAATAAATACTACCAGCCTCAGAATCAAAGTGCGGTCAAGGCGAACACTGTGATGATAACATCTATTTATTATACGTCCACAATTATTAGTATTATTAGTATATAATTTTTATTATATATTAGTGGAGTTTTACCCGTTTTACGTGAAGTGGCGTAAAACTGGGAGAAGAACTCGATATTCGCGGTATGCAATACTCGTGAAATATGTTTCACTAGTTTTTCTCATATCACTAGGGTGAAACTCCAGTATGGCATTTGTCCCTACTTTACGAACTATTATAATATTATATATGTGTTACTGTGTTCCTGTTACACTGAAAATCACAGAATTGGATAAGAAAGTACGCGCAGTAGATGAGATAAGTAGATCTCGGTGGAGAATTCGTATAGCTCATTATTAGTTTCAGTGCATATACATGACCTTGGGCGCCGCTGATTTCGTAGTTGATGTTTAGTTCGCAGCCATACTCTTATACTGTCTATTGCCTGGTGTAAGGAGTGCTGGTGTGAAAGAAATATATATAGTACATATAATTCATTCATAGTTGATATAGTTCATTCATAGTTGATGTTCATATAGTTTATTCATAGTTGATGTTCATATAGTTTATTCATAGTTGATGTTCATATAGTTTATTCATAGTTGATGTTGATATAATTCATATAGTTCTTCTTCTTCTTCTTCTTCTTCTTGTGGAGTACCTCTCCGACGAGGCAGCTGATTGTATCGACTCGCAGTGATACCCCTATACTCACTACTGGTGAGTATAGGAGTATCGCTGCAGGCCCAGACTGTTATAACCTGGGCAGTTCTGGTAAATTTCCGATCATATAGTTCGTATTATTCATATAGTTGAATTCGTTGAGATGCTTTTTTACGTTGGTTTTTGCTTCGCTCCGTCGGCGTTTAGTGGTGTTTTTTATTAGGGATGGGGAGAAGAAGTTCGCGGAACAGACTTCGTGGGGCTTCACTACTCGCTCGATTGGAGTAATGATTATGGAACATGGCGACGACAAGGGGTTGGTATTACCTCCTAGGTGAGGGTTGCTGCCTTTCCCGAATAAAAAATTTAATTTCCGAATTTTTTAGAGTAGCAGAAGTTCAAGTCGTGATAGTGCCTATTCCACCAAAGGGAGCGGGAGCCCAGTGGAGTACGGCTGAGTTGAAGGAGATGATTGGAGAGAAATGCAAAGTGAGGAAAGGAAGAAGAATTAAATGTTGGGAGAATTTGTGGTATTCAGAGTATTTATGAAGACCTCAAGGCGAATGGTGTCCGTGTAGTTTTGGATGATCGCGAGGATAAAACGCCGGGATATAAATTCAATCATTGGGTGAGGCTTGGTTTCGTGGGGAGTAGCGACTTCTGGCTCAACTAGGAATATGTGTTTCGCTTCGGTCAACTAAGCTCAGGAGTTTCCTCACTAGTTATAGAAGTTTATATACGAATTCGGGTAGGAGTATACAGAAAGCAACAAGAATTTCTCAAAATTTCGTAACAATTTTTATATAGTCGCCGACACATGTAGTTGAAAAGGTGCATAATATGCACTGAAAATATGCACTGCATATTTTCCCCCGCTTTATATCAGGAAAAATATCTCTGGTTTTCCCTTTGTTCGTTATTGCTGTTGCTACTGTATAGTTGATTCTGTTATGGCAGGAGATGTTTATTGTTGTTGTTGTTATCATTTAGGAGCTGAAGGGCGTACCACTTCGTATTGAAGTCGGCGCTAAGGATCTCGAAAAGGGTGTGGTGACGTTCGTACGCAGAAATTCTGGGAGGAAATCGCAGGAAGCGAAGCACGCTTCGGTGGAGGTAGGCATAATATCAGAGTAGTAGAATTTATTATAATAACTAGAATGATAGCACCTAAAAGAACTATAATAGTAAAATATAAAATACGTAAAATGTTATTTTTCTCACGGGTGAAACTCCAATGATAACGTATATATGATTCTAGTTGCTTGAATTTACGCTGACTTTAGTAGTTGAGTAGTAGTAGTAATAGTAGTAGTATGCAGGTGAAGGCAGCCCTGGAGAGTATACAGTCGGAGTTGCTGGAGGCCGCTAGAGCCAAGCTGGAGGAAGGTATAGTGAAGGTGACGAAATGGGATGAAGTTATGCCTGCACTTAACGCACGTAAACTTGTATTGGCGCCCTGGTGCGAAACGGAGGAAAGCGAGGAGGAAATTAAGAGAATAACGGCTGAGCAGAGCAAGGAACAAGTGGTCGTTACTGATGAGGAAGGTAGCAGCATATAACTGTGAAGGGGATTAGGTTAAAATAATCTAGGTTATATAGTCGAGTTTCACCCGTGGTATGAAAAATAGTAGTGGAAAACATATCGCATGAGCAGTGAATAACGCGTAAAACACGTGATGTGTTTTACGTGAAATGGAGTGATTTGTCCGGTGTAATTCGGCAAGTATTTTCAATTCACTTCATATCGCGTATTTTTTATATGGAGTATTGCGCCACTTCACGTAAAGCGGGTGAGACTTCATTATACTGTTGTAGTTGTGGTCAATGTTGGAGGAATATATGTTTGCTCTTTTCAGCTGAGCTTTGGGGTTTATGGCTATGTGTAGGAGTTTATATATGAATTCGAGTGGAAATGTGGAGAAATCAGGAATAATTTCCGGAAATTTCCTCTCAAAATTTTCACATTGTCACCGATATTTGTAGTTGATCATGTGCATATTTTCCTATACTTGTTTGGGAAAATATACGCGTGGTTAACTACATGTGTAGGTGATACTTGTGGGAATTTTGAGGAAAAATTGAGGAAATTCTCATTGGTTTCTGTACACTTCTACTCGAGCTCGTATTATACGACGAATCGTATATGTATAAACTTGTACAATTAGTGAGGAAACTTCTGGTTTCAGCTGAGGAAAGCGAAGAGGTATTCTAACGCTATGTTCGGGAACACAAGTTTGTTTACTTCCATGTGGTCCTCATTGTTGTTGTGGTCGTGACAGGTGGGGCTCCTGCATTATCGGGCGCGATGAAGTCGTTGTGTATTCCTCTGGAGAGTTCTGGTTATCAACTACCGATGGCTGAGGGGACGAAGTGTTTCTTCACTGGGAAGCCGGCTAAGAGGTGGCGGAAGTGTGGTATGAATTTATTGGTATTTATTTTATGTAGGTGGTGTTTATTCGGCAGAAGCTATTGAATGTAGTCTAGTGTTTTCAACGTTACTAGCTGGCACAGTGTAATCTACTGTCTTTGTTTCTCCATACTATTTTCATTGATTTGAGTTGCATTTAATAACGAAGCGGCGGAGCTTGCTGGGTTGGGGTTTGTTGATTCAATCAATGGAGTTTCACCTGTTTTAGGTGGAGTGGCGTGAACTCGGTGAAAACGCGATATTCGCGGTGATATGCAGTTGTCGTGAAATATATTTTTCACTATTGTTTCTCATATCACGGGTGAAACTCCAATGAGTTCGATTTAGTGTCCCCGGTTCGATCCCCGGCTTGGTCATTATTCCGTCAGAAAAGTTTTCGTGCATATCTCTGCAAGTTGTTCGTTAAATAGAGTTTTGATATTTTTGCGGAAATTTCGGCATATAGAGGAGTCATTTGATTTATCTGGTGTCCTACGCTTCGTACAGATGTCACACATGTGAAAAGTGTGGGAAAGTGCGCACATGGTCAACTACATATGTTGGTGACAATTTGAGAATATCAGTAAATGTTCTCTCATTGTTTCCTGTACAGTTGTATCCTGACATGTACATTCACTGGTGTCAAAGTAGGCCAACTCGATACCAGTCGATTAGGGAATGATGATAGTGATACTCCCAAATCTATCTAGGGGTTGTCCAGCATGCTTCGTGACGGTTACAAGTATCCAATGGCGAGCGGAGGATACAGTAAAAGATATGAATAACGCACGCAGAAGATACCACTGAGCAATAGGTTGAATTAGCTCAATTATTATTTAGATAACGTCGGCTCAGCTGAGGAAAGTGAACTTATACTCCTCCAACACTGTCAGTGGAACGAAATAGATATATTTGCCTATTCTTGCTCCCATCCAATCGTCGCATATTGCAGCACCCATCCATCGTGTCCTCTTCCTTGCACCATTCCACTCGGAGAGGGGTGGCCCCTATCGTGTTAACATCCCGATCTCCTAGTCGAAGTTCTCCGTCCTTTCCACTGAATTGATCAATTCTAGAATGCGTTGTTTTATAATTTCATGATGACCCTTTTGAGAGTCGACAAGCACGAGCATTTCAAACGTGTCGTGGTGTCAACGGCGAAGCGATTTAAGTAGGAGCACGCAACCGTTGAACTCCGTGTTGAAATATGTGTTCGCTTCCCTCAGCTGAGCTCAGGCGTCCCCTCGATAATTGTAAAAGTTTACATACAAATTCGGGTAGAAGTGGACAGAAATCAACGATAATTTCCTCACAATTCTCATATTGTCACCAACACACGTAGTTGAACATGTGCATATTTTCCCACACAAGTTGAATTTGATCTCTCACTAGGAGCACTCCTCCTCACATCGACGAGGAGCCGACTGATGTTGCAAGTGAGATGGCTTCAGATTTCGTAGAGTGTACCACGCTTTACAGGTGTTTTAAGATTCACCAAGGAAAAATCGCGAAGACAGTGGTTCCGAGAGGTAGGGCTTCCTCGAGAAGTTGAGCGCTGTTAGTGATTTCCCCATTGAGATAACACTACACTATACAAAATTGCAGGGGAAGGCTCAACGAGACCACCTGTTTATTCTTAACCGATGTAGATCATAACCTCACCTCCTTCTCGATAGGGACACATTGTGTGCTACGGGAACTACTGTGTGTGCGTTTTTCTTATGCAAATGCGTGAAAATTCGATTTCTCGGGTAACACGGCGAATATTCATATAATAGCAATAGTAGTATGACAGCAGTGATGATTGTGCACCAGCAGC